TGTTTGACCGTCTGGCAGGCAACCGCTTCTTCACAAAGATCGATCTTCGTAGCGGTTACCACCAGATCCGCGTTGCCGCAGAGGACCAGCCGAAGACCGCCTTTCGGTCGCGCTTCGGCCACTACGAGTTCACGGTGATGCCATTCGGCCTCACCAATGCACCCGCCACCTTCCAGATGGCGATGAACGACATCTTCAGGGACATCCTTGAAGAATACATTCTCGTATACCTGGACGACATCCTGGTCTACAGTCGTACCTTAGAAGACCATATCAGACATCTCCGCGATGTCGTACAGCGCTTACGCAAGCATGACTTCTATGCCAAGCTCAGTAAGTGCCGCTTTGCCCAACGCAAAGTGGACTTCCTAGGACACCATGTGTCTGACCAGGGTCTCCACATGGACGACGCGAAGATCACTACTTTGCAGAGTGGCCCGTCCCCAAATCTGCCAAGCAGCTTCGCAGCTTTCTAGGCCTCACCAGCTACTATAGTAATTGTATCCAGGGATACGCTAGGTATTCCTATGTCCTTACCTCTACCCTCCTCCGGAAGAACCCGCCGTGGTTTTGGACACCCCTCTGCGAGGACGCCTTCTGCGCCCTCAAGAAGGCGGTGACTTGCGCGCCGGTTCTTCACCTTCCCGATTTTTATCGTCCCTTTATCGTCACCACCGATGCGTCAGATTTTGCAGTAGAAGCTTTCCTTTCTCAGGTGTTTCCCTCTCCTCCAGATTCACCTTACCCCCATGTTCCTCCTTTCCCCCCCCCTCCTGCTGACACTGCTTCTCGACTGACGCCTATCCTACCACCACTTCCCTCCACTGACAGTCCTCCCATTACTTACTCCCCGACCATCGTGGAGGATGGGACGGTCGAAGCTCGTGCTGGGGATTGCCCGATCTCTTTCTATTCCCGTCAACTACTACCTGCCGAGATAAACTACACTGCCGATGAACGTGAGGTTCTCGCAGTAGTTTTATGCTACCCGGCATTGGCGTCATTATCTGCACGGGGCGCCCTTCACGGTGCGCACGGACAACTCAGTTGTTCAAGCTTTCCTCACGAAGCCTAAGCTTTCCCCTCGACAGGCACGCTGGTGGCGTGACTTATCCGAGTTCAGTTTCACCACTCAGCCCATCAAGGGTGAAACGAACCGCGTCGCCGATGCCTTGTCCCGCCGTCCTGATTACAATCAGGAACCCATCCATCTTGTTGCCATCTCCATCACCAGTGTTGATCAGTCGGTGATCGACGCGTATCACACTCAGTACCACCACTGCCCCGATTATCGCGTCATCCACGCGACACTGCGGAGTGGCAAGACCGTTCCTTCCTACTCCCTCGGGGAGAACGACCTCGTGTACTGGCATGACAGATCTGGTCAGCTAGAACCACGTATCCGCATTCCCTCCACCGGACAGCTCCGCGTCCAGGCTGTAGCAGAGTTCCATGACCAGGCAGCTGCCGGTCATATGGGTTTCCACAAGACGTTGGCTCATGTTTGCCGCCTATACGTCCGGCCGAAGTCCAAAGACTTTGTCAAAGCCTACATCCAGGAGTGTCCTACCTGCCAAGAGGTGAACAGTGCGAACCACCTTCCGTATGGGTTACTTCAGCCCCTACCCATACCTGAAGGTTGTTGGCAGTCTCGATGGATTTCATTGGTCCCCTCCGCCCACCCACTCAGCGCGGTCATGATGCTATCTTGGTCGTCGTCGATCGCTTCACGAAGCGTGCACATTTTATTCCGTGCCGCTATCGCATTGGCGCTCGTGAGGTCGTCGACATCGTCTTCGACCGAGTCGTGAGAGATCACGGCTTAACTCAGAGCATCATCTTCGACCGTGACTCGCACTTTCTCAGCATATTCTGGCGACGCCTACACGAGGAGTACGGATCCCAGCTGCGCTTCTCATCGTCTTACCACCCTCAGACGGATGGTCAGACTGAGGTCACCAACAAAACTCTCGGTAATATCCTCCGAAAGTTTGTTAGGGATRACCAGCAGTGAGACTTACACTTAGCCCACGCGGAGATTGCGTACAACCACGCTGTTTCGCCAGCCACGGGGATGTCGTCATTCTATTGCGACCTCGACTACCACCCTCGCGTACCTGCGGATTTCCTACGACCATCGCGGTTGCGCCCAGACACTCGTTGCCCTGCGCTTGACGACTGGATCGCCCACATGGCGGCGATTATGAAGCGCGCACACGAGAGTTTAACCGACTCCCAGACTTGCATGGCCGCACGAGCGAACCGATCACGAATGAATCATCCATTCAAAGTCGGTGACGATGTGCTCGTCGACGCACGTCACTTAAAGCTCGAAGCAGATATGCTTCGCAAGTTCAGGCATCGTTTCTTCGGTCCATGCTGCATCCTTCAGGCCGTCGGCTCAGATACTGCCTCTAGTCCGGTCAGCTTCCGTGTGAAGCTACCTGATTACCTTCGACAGGCTCGCGTACACGATTTTTACCACGTCTCCTTGCTGCGTCCTTATCGCAGACCGTCCGAGCGCTTCGCTGGACGCCCTTATGAGCGCCTTCCACCTATCACGGTGGACGGTCACGAAGAGTTCGTTGTTTCCGACATCGTATCACGCCGAGTTACCGAYGATACCCCTCCACGCATCGAGTACCTTGTGCGTTGGAAGGGCTACCCTGATGAGGAGGCTACTTGGGAGCCCCTCGAGCACTTGCAGCACGCCAGAATGTTGGTGCGTGCATATGATCGTGCTCGTCGTGCTGGGACATCTGCTTCTACTCAGCCGACTGACCCTCTTCCTCCTCCTCCGGCTGAGGAGATCGCTGAGGATGAGCCCGCTCCCTCTGAGGCCGTTCCTCAGCCGCAGATGGTCGCCTCTGAGCGTCCACAACGCACTCATCGTCGCCCTTCACGTTACGATGACTGACACTCTTATCCTCCATCTTTCCCAACTGACTTACACCATCAGGTACTCCATCATCAACTCTTCTTCAGGATGTCAGCGTTTTGCGGCTCTGCTTCGACATTGACTCGACTGCTACTTCATCGACGTCATCGACCGATTCGACGACTTCAGCTACCTTATCGGCTTCAACTGCTTTGGACGTGACTACTTCACGCCACCACCCTACCCTGTACATTCCCTTGCATCTGTCGTATGATGGTTCTCACTTAGCTGGGTCTCTTTGAGTTGGGCTCTCCCTTGGTATCGCATAGGCATTGGGACCGTAGCGTTATCTTGGCTTCCCTGCTCCCAGATCTAGCTCCTTCCTCCCCCAGTCGGTGAGTTGTGTGCATGTTTCCCTCACCCACTGCCCTCATCACCCTAGTGTCGGCCCTTGCATGCCTTCAGTTAGGCATATCCCCACCCTATTTCAGGCTCCCCCTTTTCATAGTCGACCCTGCATGGTGTCACCCTTGTCGAGAATTACCCGCCTTGATGGTCTATTTGTTAGGGTCATTGGTTTTGTTTCGCTACCACTCTCCCACCTTGAGCCTGATGACCTATCCCACCTTCATGTGTGACTGCCCTTAGGAGTTTCGATTCTTAGGCTGCATTCACCCCCTCTGAGACCATCCCACT